ACCCAATAGCATATCTTGAAAACTAGAGCCAATCAACAATTTTAAGCATCATTTTCGTTCTCAGTGACCCAGAATTAGTAAAGTTTAACTACTTTTATTTCAGAAGCATTTTGGCTGTAGAGCAGTGTAATGCCTTTAAGACTCATACCTCTTCCTTTGACGTTTCTGTAATCTTTTAGAATAGAAGCTGCATGATTTTCATTATGGATTGTCCATGTACTTTAAATAAGTAGCTGTAAAACTGTACTGTGTGCAACTTGGCATGTACATGCTACTGCTGTACGCACTAACAAAAACTCCTAGCAAGAAATTTTAGATAACTACGGACTGATGCAGCTATTCAGTAGGCTGAGTGACAAATTGAGGTCACTCAAAAGGAGTTGATCTGATCAAGGTTAAAAGAAAATCTAAAATGCAATTTAGATGCATACTGCAATCTACAGTAGTTTTTAAAAGCCTTGGGCCAGCACACAGCTTTTACTTACCACAGTAGTGCCAACATGAGGGACATAAGTGCTTCCAGGTTTTTTAATGCTGAGATGATTTCCTCCCCCACCAAGACCATCAGCGGCTTTAATAGTGTCCAAACAGTGCACTGTCTAGCCTTACTTTAGACTCTCAGGGGCTAGGTCTCTTCTCACATCAGTTTCACACTTGCGTAACTCCACGGACTTTGGCGAAGCTACGGTACTCCTGATTCTCACTTGTGCAAGGGGAGAGTCAGACCCTTGATGCACCATTTGTTTGTCAATTGTTTCTATAATTAAACAAACAGGGGAGAATGTGTCCTGGACACAAATTTACATACAATGAAGGCTTCAAAGGCTCCCCACTGCAATTGCCTGCATGGCTTGATCTCCATTCCTCACTGTGAGAAATGTTGTGTGGTATGAGGAAGATATGAAAATTGACCTGCTGCTAATGTTGTGGTAATAAATCTGGTACCTAGATTAGAGTTTTTTTTTACTATGTCTATAGCATCATATTCTGAAATTCCCCAGGGTACAATCTGAACTGCTGAACAGCGGTGTCCCCATAACTCTCTAGCCTGGGGTGCCTTTTACACTCCGTTGCTGCCAAAGCAACCACACTGGGCCTGCCCACATACAGCCACTAGCATGTAAAATTACTCCCAGCTATGTTACATGAATGCTCTCCCAGCCATTCATGAATTTCATACTGGGTGACACTCAAATATCCTTGAGGTCTTTAGACACCTTTAAATACCTTTAAAAATCTGGCTGCTGATCTGCAAAATGCAATTATGATACTTACCATCCTTTAGAAGAGGCTTTGAGGTCTATGAATTAAAATAGGTATATGAGAGCTAAGAAAAGTTACTATGTAGCAGTATCTGAAATCACTATAGGTTTTTTCTCTGTATCTAGAAGACATAATTGTATGATCACTCTGTGGAATCTGTTGGCAAGGCAAGGTGGAAATACTTAACGGCAATCCCTGTTGACTATAAGCCTTTTGAGGATACAGATTTTCTCCCCTACATGGTTCTGTGCAGCACTAAGAATGCTGACAGCACCCAACCAAAAATGATCCATTTTAAAGAGGAACTGCAGCTCTCAATGTTCTTTTTCTGTGTGTGACAGGGATTTTGTGAGCAATTTTGGGGGAGCCCTTAAAAATGGCAGCTGTTTAAATGCTTGGAGATTCTTCTAACCCTAAAGTAGAAATACAGTTCTCTCTACTGGAAAAGCAGGGTGCTGATTACTGTACATATCGTCTGCCATGTGATTGGAAAAGGGGTCCAAGCAAGTTTATGCCCTGTCTGTCATTGTAACACACACACCTCCTGGGTGTGGGGCTCTGTCCCATCTAGTGGCACCAAGACCACTTAGTGAGAGAGATTAATGCGTCTACTCTATAGCCTTAGCTAAGAGCCATATGGCTTAAGACTCATGCATTTAGCACTAGAGGTCCCAGGTTCTATACCACCCGCCGACAACCAAGCTCTGTCAGTGTTACATAATGACCTTATCAAACCACATCCAGGGCAGGCTTTAGGCTGATTCAACCAATTCCCCTGAATCGGGCCCCGTCCCTAAGAGGGCCCCGCGCCCAAGCCCCAGTACAGCGTACTGGCAAGAGCCGGTGCGCTCTACCGGGGTGGCCCGGCTTCCCCAGGGGGCAATTTAAAGGGCCTGGAGCTCCCAGCAGGAGGCTGGAGCCCCAGGCCCTTTAAATTGCCACCAGAGCCCCACTGCTGGAGCCCTGGGAAAGGGTTGCGTGGCTCTGGGGGCTATTTCAAAAGTCCAGGGCTCCCGTTGCTTCTACCGCCCCGGCCCTTTAAATAGCCACTGGAACCCCGCCGCTTCCCCAGGGCTCCCGCGGCTATTTAAAGGGCTGGGGCAGTAGAACCAGGGGAGCCCCGGGCCCTTTAAATAGCCCCCGAGCCCCAGGCTGCTGCTGCTACCCCGGTGGGGGACGGAGGAGGAGGGGGCACTCACTGTACAGGGTGGGCTGTACCCCCTGTACCTGCACCCCCTGCCCGCACCAGCCCCGCACCTCCTGCCCTGTCTGCAATCAGCCCGTCTCCAGCCAGCCCCTGTCTGCAGCCAGCCCCGCACCCCCCTGCCCTGCCTCCAGCCCCGCACCCCCTGCCCGCAGCCAGCCAGTCTCCAGCCAGCCCTGCCGCACCCCGTGCCCTTCCCGCACCAGCCCTGCACCCCCTATCCTGCCTGCACCAGCCCCGCACCCCCTGCCCTGTCTCCAGCCAACCCCTGCTGCACCCCCCTGCGGCCCTGCCTGAAGCCAGCCAGCCCACCCCACACCCCCCCGTCTCCAGCCAGCCCCGCACCCCTTGCTCTGCCTGCAGCCAGCTCCTACCTCCAGTCAGCCCCTGCCCTGCCTCCAGCCAGCCCCATGTCCACTGGTGCCCTGCAGTTCCCAGGGCAGTAACCCTGCACACCTGCTTCAATGAGGGGGGCAGGGAGCAGCTGGGACGCACACATGTGCACCTAGGGTGACCAGATAGCAAGTATGAAAAATCGGGACAGGGGGTGGGGGGGTAATAGGATCTTATATAAGAAAAAGACCCAAAAATCGGGACTGTCCCTATAAAATCGGGACATCTGGTCACCCTAGTACACCCCCAGGGAGTGGTGGGGACCTACACATATGAAACGGAGCTCATTTCTAGTTCAGGCCCATCTTTTTAAAAAAGAACTTTAGGTAGGGTTAACATACATCCGTATTTTCCCGGACATGTCAGGCTTTTTGGTTCTTAAATCGCCATCCGGATTTAAAAATTCCTCCTGAGAAAATACGGACGTATGGTAACCCTATTGGTACAAAAAATACATACTGTGGCATATCCCTTAAATCAGAACTTTTTATAGGGAAACGGTTGCTAAGAAATTCAAGAGGTTTTTTTTACGTTTTTTTTTTTAGTCATCCCTGCCGAGGTCCCGCCAAAAATGTTCGAATTGGGTCCTGCACTTCCTAAAGCCGGCCCTGACCACATCTGTAGCAATAATAATCACAAAAGGACTTTTAAAGCTACTTAAAGCTACACAGAAATAAAAGGCGAAGTGCTGTATACTAAAAGTGCAGCAGTAGACATAGCGTTATACTCTTCCCATGTCAATTATTGAGAGTTATGCACATGTATCAATAAACTCAGTAGTGTGCTTACATCATATTCTGTTCTCATACCTCACAGATCCCCAGCTCAATAACAAATAAGATCATACAATCATTATTGCTTTCACGTAGAACTTCTTAGAGCCTGATAACCACAGAGAATTGTATCTTTTATAGGGTAGGAGCAAAAAAGTTCTCCACAGGCTAGGGTGGTTTACATACATAAATCAGAAAACCCACTCAATTTTATACCTTCTCAAAAACAGGACACATAGGCACTGTAGGGACAGCACTGTGCAAAATACTATTGTATGCTCTTTTTTTTTTCCACTTCTTGCTTACAGAGCTGTATTTCTGATACAATTTGGACACCACTGTGCTGATGGGTACAACATAAAAACCTAGCTAGACAGAAAACAAAATTTACAAATGGTGGTATTATGTACTTTACTAACACAAGGGAACCTTTTATGCCAACTATTCAATAATACATTTGGTACTAAGGAATACTGAAATGTTACCAATCACAAAGAACATAGAAAATATTGTTAAGGGGCCCCGAGAGAAGATGCTGCACTTTGTCATGTTTACTCTGTGGTAGCAAACCTGATTTGAGGCTAATTAAGGCTTTCTCGCATTGAGCTTTCAATGTCTGTGAACAAGTTCTCAGTTTATGGAGAAAGTTTGTGTGCTTCATCTTGCATAAGGACCCCTAGCAGCTTGTGTAGAGCAGCATTGTGGTCCAAGGGGGAAACGGTGAAGCCAATCAAATCCGAAATCAGGTGTTTGGCAGGGAAGGTGCACCCATAGGGGGGGAGGCAGAGGGAAGGTGAAATGGCCACTGCAAGTTTGTGGGAAGATGGTAGCCTAGTGGTGGGGAGGGATAGCCAAGTGGTTTGAGCATTGGCCTGCTAAACTCAGGGTTGTGAATTCAATCCTTGAGGGAGCAATTTGGAGCAAAAATCTCTCTGGGGATTGGTCCCCCTTTGAGCAGGGGGGACCTCCTGAGGTCCCTTCCAACCCTGATATTCTATGGTAGTGATTCTTACCATGGAATCATTCTGAAGTTCCAGCCTCAGGAAGCAGAGAGGCCTTCGGAAAGCCTATTAGTCAAGATCAGGTGAGAGGAAGAATCTTATCTCCACTCCCCGCCTCACACCAGCTGTCCAGAAACATTGAAATTTCTATCAAAGGGATAAAACAAAGGAAATTCGGAGTGAGAAAGCTTTAATTCAGCTGTATTGTGCCTGGGCTTTTTTGCACAGATGGTCTCAGAATACAAGGAAATATTTCATACACTTTGCATATTTGAAACAATACTTTCTCTAAAGATTACCAGTGAGGCGACTGAGTAACTGAACTTCATCACAATATCCTTTTTGGTTTCTTTCCTGTTGTTGCAGGTGATTACATAGTCATGACTATATACTTTGATTTAAGTAGAAGAATGGGATACTTCACTATTCAAACATACATACCCTGCATCTTAACAGTTGTGTTATCCTGGGTATCCTTCTGGATTAAAAAAGATGCTACACCAGCAAGAACAGCACTAGGTAAGGTCTTAATTCTTTCTGTTCTATCACTGTGTTGAATATTAACAAATATCCTGCTTTACCATTTGAAAATTTCATCTCCTTTCCAATTAGGAGACCAATGTCTCTGGGCATTAGCTATGTACTGTACATCGTCACAGCCAGCTCCTACAGGCCTAAAAGCCCGTTGTGACAAGGGAATTTGGTATTTGAGTTTTAAAGGAACAATTAAAAATAAATGACTCTGCCACCTGTTTTGTTTGCATAATAGCTCAGAATAACTGATTGCTTCGCTAATCCTTCTGTGGTTTCTCTAGGAGGATTTTTGAATGATAGGCACAGTAGACTGCTTCCTTCCTTCCATCCTTAAGCTGCTGTTCCTTATGTTATATTTATAGACAACAAATGTTGATGGATAAGAAGAAATTTGTCCAAAATGATGATGCTTGAGTGCCTAGAGCTAGGTACATAAATAAGAGTCCTGTTTTTCAGAGGTGCTGGCAGCTCTCCAACACCTCTGAAAATCAGGCCACTTATATAAGTGCCAAAGTGTGGATTTAGGAGCTTAAATGTAGGCTATGTTAAAAATAATTGGGCAGAATTTTCAAAGTCTAACACAAAAACTGCAGGCTGTGCAAGTATCAGGAACACAGGGGCAGGGTTATAATAGGAGATTAACTATGTACACATTAAAACAGAAGGAAAGACATGGGGGCTCCATTGGGGCTGGTATGCCTGAGCCCTGGTCAGTGCACCATCCCAGGAATAGCACATGGGAAATTTTGCCTCAAGGAAGCATAATCTTTCCAAGAGCTGCTCTGCACCCAATGGGATATTCACTTTGCACAACTCTTATGCTGACACAAATAGACTGTCCCTTTAGAGAAAATACCAGGGGTGGGGGATGGCAGACAGAGGGGGATCAGGGCTATAGTCTCCCTGTAGTCCCCCTTTTGGCTGAGTAGTTCCCTAGGAATGAACAGGGACTGCTGTTGCGGAGGGGAGGTGGGGAGGACCCCTATAACAGGGGGAGGCCTTTTTCACAAAGCTTTCTGACCCTCCTAGCAGCTATGCACAGGTCATCACCATCTGCCCCTTGTCTATATAGGAAAAATTCTTTAAAATGACTTATTGAACCAAAAATGATCATGAGTCCTTATCTAAACCTGTTTCTGCAAGGTAGCTTACTAAGATCACACTGGGGAGCTAGACTCTTAGAGGAATTCCCCATTCCCACGAGTTTGTTCTCTCACAAAGTCACAAGAGGAAGCCATTTAGTTCAAGACTGCAACGTTTATTGGCTGTTCAGAGTGCCTCAGTCTAGCATTATCATTTCTTCCAGCAAATGAGTGAATCAGGGCAGCCACCCACCTCCTGAGTGATGTAGCTTCCAGCTCAGAACACAGAGCTCTGGAGGCAATAAAGATGAAAATTTCAAATGTGATTAAGGGATTTAGGAGCTTACATCTCACCAGAAGGCTTTGGGCTCCTAAATCCCTTAAGCACATTTGAAAATCTTAGCAGAGTCCGTAACTCAGTGAGGCATGTTGCTGTGCAGCCATGTATTAAGGTTTGTCAGCATCTGGCCTGAACCATTCTGCATCACATAAATGAGCAAAACTAACATCTTAAAATGATGGTCCAGCTCATCACGATGAATGACAGCAGAAATATGTTACTAAAAATATGTTTTAAGTATAGGCTTTCCACTCGCTACCACTTCGTTTCAGCAGTGAATCCAAACATCAGCGGTTCCTGCTGTAAGTACACAGCCCATCTTGCTACAGGGTTAAATGAGCCTTTATTCTTAGTGAATAACAGGGGACATCTCTTCAAGTCATAGATGGTTCATTATGATGGAGGTATGCAACAGGAGCAGTCACGGGAAGAGACTTGGGAGAACTTGCAATAAGACTGCTGAGAGCATACATTAGTTAATTAAAAACAAATAATGCAACACTAAAAAATTACTTCCCATGAGGTCAACACAAAATCATAAATGTCCCAATTCCACTCCAGAAATTCACAAACCTTAGCAAACCTTTTGACAAGTGTGTTCTGATTTTCTGCTTGGGTGTAACGCTCCAAATCCCGCTGAGTGTTGCATTGGTAAGCTTTGAATTGAACAGCTATATACTATAAATGTCCTTCAGAATTCCAGATATGCATAATTTGAACCCCATTTTCCAGAAACAAAAGACTGGAGGCCTGATTCTTATTACCAGTATTGTGTCTCTACATTGCTACTCTAGCAGTAGAAAGGGGCTTTAAAATTTACACCCATTTTAAGGCCATTTTCAACTGCCAGTGGGGTATAAGGAGGCCTTACTGTAAATGAGAATCAGGCCTTATGGTACTAATGCAATTCTCTTAAATTAGCTGTATCAATAGAGACACGGAAAGATTAACCACAGTGTGTCAATAAACGTGTGAGACAATATTGTGTACTGAAGAATCACAAATCACCCATCTGGATTATGTTTCACAATGCCTGATTTTCATTAAAAACAACAAACCAGGAGAAAAAAAAGTGTCAAGTGCTTTCTCTTACTAGAAATAGCTTGCTTGTGCGCTATCTCTCAGAAAGCTCATGTACTTATACCACATAGGTCCATTTCCAAACTAATTAGACAAGAGTGAAGGTTAGAATTTTAGTCACACCAATGTATTGTCTTTAACATTCCTGAGGAACTCTATCCAGTAGAAACAAGACATTCTGATAGCAATGGGTGAGTGTCAAATTAGAAACTAAGCTAAAGTTTTCCAAGCAGTCTAGATGAATTAGGTGCCCAACTCTTTTTGGTTAGATAGAGTTCAGAGAAGTCCATGTGGATACACTCTGAGACATAATTAAACCTTTAGTTACTGGCCTAAAAATATAAATTACATCAAGCAACTAGAAAGTAATGCATAGGTGGGACATATGTCCTTGTGCACCATCAGAGTCCAAATGTTTCCCAATGGTCAGTTTACTGTAAATCTTCAGAATAGCCACATTAGTGCTCTTTATTTGCTTTAGTGCACTTACATAATTTGAACAAGAAATCTGTCTGTATTGAAAAGTAGCATACATTGTACCCGCTTCTAAAAATAGTACAGTGTGCATTTGTGTATAACACAGCTAACGGCTACTCACTGAAATCATCCTGGGTTTTCAAGATCATTAATGCTAATCAGTCAAAATGATTTATAGACTTGGGGAAGGGGGCAAATTTGCCCCTGATGTAACTTCATTGACTTAAATGGCGTTACATCAGGGAAAAAATTTCACTCCCTGAAATTAATGAGTAATGTGCTGAGCTATTGGCAACTGCTCTGGGTTGTATGAAATAAAGGCTTTACCCCCCTTCTGCACAGCTATCAGTAATGAGCCAGATATATACTGAAATATACTGAAATACTGAAATAAGGGATATTTAGTTCTGAGAGGACAACACGGCACATACACAAACACTAGTACCTGAATATGAAGACCTCAAAGCGTTTCTTTTTTAAAAGATGGGTGTCATTTTCCCTGCTTTACAAACCAAGGGATGAGGAACAGAGAGATGAAGTTACCTTCAGATTACACTGAGTCAGTGTCAGAGATAGGCAGATAACGCACGAGTCCTGACTGCCAGTTATGTGTTCTAACCACTAGACTATGCTGCCTCCTTGTGTAAATGCCTCCATCTACAGGGCTGGAATTGCTTTCTAATATTTATACTTCTCATTAACTATGAAAATTACCTTCTTCCAAAGCTACCAATCTAGATATGTTGGCAGGCGTTTAAAGAGAAGAAAAATACACTGGGTAAACTATGGGGGTGTTTTTTATTGAAATTCAGAGGGTTTAATTTAACTGAAGTTTTCAGCAAACTGCCTTCTTTTGATATACTGTATCTATATACCTATATAGGTAGGGTGTTAGCACATTCCATTATCTGATACTATTATGGTTATGTTACCATATAGCATCTGAAATTGCAAGTGTCAAATATACAGCAGTCGTCAAGCCCGACGATGGCATTTAATAAAAACTCACATCACTTTCCTTTCACTTCCATCCTTCAGTCACTTACATTTTGAAAATGAATTTAGTGTTCATGAAAGTTGCCAAGATTGGAAGATGGAGAAAATGAAATTCCGACCTACAAACTAGCTACAGCTTGGGCAACAATCTTCCCCCATGCTGCCCCCTCAACGTGCCATTATTCTTGCCTGGCAGAAGATACCCTTAAATGTAAGAGAGTAATTGAGCCTCTCTAACCATGTAATCCATGAGTCCTCTGAGATGGCCAGATTCAGACCACTAATTGTCTTTGCATAGTGAAGTCCTGTAAGCAGCTATCAGATGGTAAAATATTAATGTATTGATCACAATTAAATTCATACCAGTGACCTAAAGGTAAAACATTGTTCACCCATTCTGAATCCCCTGAGCTATCTTAGTTTGCTGGAAAGTCTTATTTGATTTATAAAATAGTAAATTTAGTATTGATGTCACTGACAGAAAATAAATTTAAACACATACACTTCTCTGACTGAGGGCATTAATGCCAGCTGTGACATGAAGCTGTGGAAATGAGATCAGGATGACTCTGATAGTAATTTCAGATCTTTGGTAGGTCTTAAAAAACTGACAGACAGTTCTGGAGCACTGCAAATTTTAGAACAGGGTGGAAGGCTCTTCCCACAATAAGAGATCTATCATAGAACCTCCTGGACATCATCCACCAAAATGATCTCACACAGAGTAGCAGTGAGGCCAGGGTAAAGAGTCTAGATACTATTTTGGGGAAAACATAGGTGTTGGTTCTTATTGATGTATATGGCATCTAGATATACGCTCGATGTATAGTGTTTTATGCCTTTTGTTCCATTCCTGCTCACTTTGTGATACTATAAAACAGATTTTAATGTTCAAAAACAGTGTTTCTATTGCTTATACACAATGGACTAAATTTTTATTACTTCAAAAATAGCTTTCAGTGCTTGTTTATTGTAGTTGTTCTCAGGGTAGCCCCTCCCACCATTCACAT